GTAGCTCAGAGGAGAGGAAGAAGGGTAGCCAGGAGGAAAAGTCATCCAGGAAGCGGGGTATGGATCCAGGAGGCCGGTAAATCTTCAGGGGGTTTGGGGGAGAATAGTCGGACGCAGTGGGCCTCGAAGGAGGAGAAGGATAGGGAGGGGGGGTTTGGGAGGACTCGGAAGGTGCTCTGCGGTGACAGGAGCAGACCAACCCCACCACCCTTATGACCGTTAGGCCTGGGAGAGTGGGTCCAGGTGAGACCTCCGTAGGAGAGTGCAGCAGGGGAGGTAGAGTCAGTGGGCTGGATCCAGGTTTCCGTAATCGCCAGGAGGTTGAGGGAGCGGGAAACAAAGAGGTCGTGGATTGCGGTAAGCTTGTTGCACACCGATCGGGCGTTCAGGAGTGCACATGAAAACGGGGGGGAGATTACTATGTAACTATGTAACATCAGTTTTTCATCGGTTCACATCAGTTTTTTATCAGTTTAAATCAGTTTTTCATCAGTTTATGTCAGTTTACATCCGTTTTTCATCGGTTTAGATCCGTTTTTTGGCCATTTACATTACATTTGTTTTAGTCCATTTACATCCATTTTTCATCCGCTTACATCTGGTTTTGTCTGTTTACATCAGTTTTTCGTCCGTTACTTTTTTTTTAACGCAAGGAAATTAGTGTTTTCTTCTATTAAAAAAAAAACGATGTTGATGGATGCGGACATTAACAGATGTAAACAGATGATCATCCGTTTACATCCGCTAGTCCATAGAAATACATGGGTGTCTGTTTTTTATCTGTCCATTTACGTATGAAAAATGAACACCCATGTATTTGTATGGAACGCTCGTGTGAAAGGAATCTAACAGAGTCCAAATTAATTTATTAGTTTGTAATTTATTAGTTTGTAATTTATTAGTTTGTACTTAACTAATAAGTACAAATTAATAAATGAATCTGGGATCTTTTATCCTTTGGCCTGGCACTCCTTCCATTTGTGCTTATTTTTTTCTAATAAACTTAATTTTAGAACACACAAATGGAAATATTATCCAATTTTGATAAAATAAAAAAGATGAGAGATTGTGCTAACTAAATGGATACCCAACATGTCAAGCCTTGAAATGGCATGTGCCTGAAAAAACAGTGACAAACTTCAGTACCCTAAATTTTCCATAGGCGACTCCCTAAAAGCCTCTGCAGGTTATCAGTGTAGACCTAACCATGAACAATGGGCCCAGAATTATCGATCTCACTCCAATGTTCATGGTAATATGTAACAGGTTTAACACAATTTTCGTACTTGGGCTCCCCTAGTGTTTGTGTGCTTATGTTTGCATATGTTATATGTATATATGTTGTAAATGTTATGTTTGTGAGTGTAATTGGGGGGGGTGGTCTAAGTGTTTGTGTGTAACTTTATTTTTCTACACTTCATTTCACTAAACTTTATTTTTAATATGGGACAAAAATTCCCTATGTGATTTTTTTGTGACGGGTTATCTTCAATCAGATGTCAATGGTCTTTTAGAAAGTGAAAGTCGGCCCTGGAAATGATATCAGTTATACACATGATGTCTTGGTTTTTAGTAAGAAGGGGAGATGGGTGAACTGTTGTTTGCTGATCTCCCACCTCTCTACACGGTGGAACCTGCCATGCTGGTCTTGGATCGGCCAATGGGAGCCACCCAGTCACTTCCATCTGACAGCTGATAGTCGGCTTATCAGATTTACAAACATTTGTGGCTGCTGTAGCAGCTGGGAGTGTATGTAAAACATACATATGGCATACATCTGTGGCAGCAAAAGGAATAGTGGTACCATAGTGGGTGCTTACTTGTTTTTCGGTGCTGTCAGTTTATCTTGGTTTAGAGAAAAAGAATTCTGTGCATCCTGGGGCAAAAGGGCTAAATCGCACATAGAAAACAATTGTTTTTTAATATGTCCTGTTCATACCACAAGGCTGGTGTGATGTGCCGAGGTGTGGGGAGCAGAAAATGCAGCATGTCTGCATTTTGCTGCAGTACACTGGATGACAGCTGGATTGCAACATGCCACGCTGATGTGCAAACACACAATTGAAGTGTTACTATGTGATTCTTCACATAAAGTGAAAAAACATCTCTACCCCCTGTGAGGACACAGGAACTCACAAACCAAATGATGCAGATAAATCGACTTTGTTGCTCTCTGCATCTGGCTTGGAGATTGTCAATTTCATAAAACAACAAAAAAAAAGAAAAACCCAATATTTCCGACCTCTGTTACACCTGTGTTTACAATTGCTAAATTCAGGAGGCTCCTGTAAATATTTCAGCACACTTTGATTCATCTTGATCTCTATTTTACAATGACAGGGTCTCTTGATCTGTGCTGTACGATGACAGGATTTCTTGGTCTGTGCTGTACGATGACAGGATTTCTTGGTCTATGTTGTACGATGACAGGATCTCTTGGCCTATGTTGTGCAATGACAGGGTCTCTTGGTCTATGTTTTACAATGATAGGATCTTTTTGTCTATGTTGTACACTTACAGGATCTCTTGGTCTGTGTTGTACAATGACAGGATTTCTTGGTTTGTGTAGTACAATGACAGATCTCTTGATCTGGGTTGTACGACAGGGTCTCTTGGTCTGTGTAGTACAATGACAGGGTCTCTTGGTCTGTGTAGTAGAATGACAGGTCTCTTGGTCTGTGTAGTAGAATAACAGGGTCTCATGGTCTGTGTTGTACAATGACAGGATTTATTGATCTGTGTAGTAGCATGACAGGATCTCTTGGACTGGGTTGTACAATGACAGGATCTCTTGGACTGGGTTGTACAATGACAGGATCTCTTGCTCTGTGTTGTACAATGGCAGGTCTTTTGGTCTGTATAGTACAATGACAGGATTTCTTGGTTTGTGTTGTACAATGACAGGTCTCTTGGTCTGTGTAGTAGAATGACATGGTTTCTTGGTCTGGGTTATACAATGACAGGGTCTCTTGGTATGGGTTATACAATGATTCAGAAAAAATGAGGAAGGGTTGTAACAGCGCAAACACTGCAAAGTCCTGGGAAATGGTAGTATGGGTGATGGTGGTATTAGTGGCTACTGTATGAAGAGCGTAGGATTCCGTGTGGCACTGAGGGCAAGGCTTCCAAATAAGCTGTAGCAACTTCTGTAGATGAGAAAAAGGAGAGAAGCGCCTCTAAGTGCAATAAGTCTTTTAATTCAAGTCTAAATGTAGAAACACTCACATGTGTGAAGTAATCATAAGCATAAAAACCGTGGTTAACAATCGTTAACGGTGGGGTGGTAACCCGGGTGAAGAGCCGTCATCTCTCTGCTTGAAAAAGGAGTGCACTTTCGCCTTCCACGGCCAGTGCATGCTCCGAAACGCGTCGCAGTGCACCCTGGGATCTGACGTCATCACGGCCACGCCGCCGCTACGTTCCAGCGTGCGTTCCATCCGGCTCTGAGGGAGGACGTGCATGAAGGCTGGCCTCACCGCTGTTCCCCCTCCAGCCACCACGCTGTTCCAGCCGAGAGCTGACCTCCCCACATCGCAGAGAGATGACGGCTCTTCACCCGGGTTACCACCCCACCGTTAACGATTGTTAACCACGGTTTTTATGCTTATGTTTACTTCACATATGTGAGTGTTTCTACATTTAGACTTTAGAATTAAAAGACTTATTGCACTTAGAGGCGCTTCTCTCCTTTTTCTCATGGGTTATACAATGACAGGGTCTCTTGGTCTGTGTTGTACAATGACAGGATGTCTTGGTCTGTGTTGTACGATGACAGGATCTCTTTGTCTGTGTTGTGTAATGACAGGATCTCTTTGTCTGTGTTGTGTAATATCAGGATATCTTGGTCTGTGTTGTGTAATGACAGGATCTCTTGGTCTGTGTTGTGTAATACCAGGATCTCTTGGTCTGTGTTGTGTAATACCAGGATCTCTTGGTCTGTGCAATACCAGGATCTTTTGCTCTGTGTTGTACGACAGGGTCTCTTGATCTGGGTTTTACAATGACAGGGTCTCTTGGTCTGTGTTGTATAATACCAGGGTCTCTTGGTCTGGGTTTTTACAATGACAGGGTCTCTCAGTCTGTATAGCAGAATGACAGGGTCTCTCGGTCTGTGTTGCACAATGACAGGATCTCTCGGTCTGTGTTGCACAATGACAGGATCTCTCGGTCTGTGTTGCACAATGACAGGATCTCTCGGTCTGTGTTGCACAATGACAGGATCTCTCGGTCTGTGTTGTACAATGACAGGGTCTCTCGGTCTGTATTGTACAATGACAGGATCTCTCGGTCTGTGTTGTGCAATGGCAGGGTCTCTCGGTCTGTATTGTACAATGACAGGGTCTCTCGATCTGTATTGTACAATGACAGGGTCTCTCGATCTGTATTGTACAATGACAGGATCTCTCGGTCTGTGTTGTACAATGGCAGGGTCTCTCAGTCTGTGTTGTATAATACCAACGTCTCTTGGTCCTGTCATTGTACATCACGGACCAAGAGATCCTGTCATTGCACAACACAGACCAAGAGAACCTGTCATTGTACAACACGGAACAAGAGATTCTGTCTGTGATGTACAATGACAGGATCTCTTGGTCTGAGTTGTACAATGGCAGGATCTCTTGGTCTGTGTTGTACAATGACAGGATCTCAGGACAGGACAAGATACCCTGTCATTGTACAACACAGAGTTGTTACAGGGAGAAAGGTGCTACAGAGACCCTGAGATTCTACTACACAGACCAAGAGACCCTGTCATTGTACAACTCAGACCAAGAGATGCTGTCATTGTACATCACGTACAATACCAGGGTCTCTTGATCTGTGTTGTAGAATCTCAGGGTCTCTGTAGGAACTTTCTCCCTGTAGTAACTCATAGAAAAGAAAAGGTTGTCCCCCTGTCACAGGGGGAGGGGCTCTTGCGGCTCAGTCTGTCTGTCTTCCAATGACGGCGCTCTCTCCATGTACAGTGACAGGTGGGCGTGGCCCGGAGTTCGCGCTCTGACCTGTTCATACCCCGCTAGGCCTCCGTAGCTGATCGGATCGCCGCAGAAAAGTGTGCGGGCGGACATGGCGGATACCGGGGGTGAGCTGCGGTGTACAAGAGAGAGCCATGGAGAGGAGCGGCTACAGGAGGACTCCCTACCTTCCGAGACCTCCCTGGAGCAGGTAGGTGCGCAGAGCCGTGTGTGTAGTATATCGTCCTCCTCTGCTCATGTGTGCAGCCTGCACATGTGTCACCCCGGCCACTGAAATCCCCATCTCCTTCGATGTGTGTCCTCCATTATAGTTCTAGATCTGAGGGTTTTACTAAAACATAACTGGAGATTGCTGATCAGGCTCCTGCTGTAATTGGGTGACAACGCCTGTTCTGAGTGTGCTGGGAGTTGTCACCTGGACTTCTAATGGAGAATACAGGTGGTGGATCTCTGGTGTCACCATCAGGAGGCTTGTCCAGGGAAATGCCTGGAGCCATCACTGGACATGGGCAGGAGGGACTCATCCCCCCACACCTGACACCCTGGTGGCTCTCCTCTCTGCCCTGTGTTGTCGGTAAACTCTATACAGTGTACTTTTTGAGGAAAGTCCATCAAAGATGCAGATTGCAGACTTGTGGGTTATTTTTTAAATATAATGCACCACTCCTAAATACACACCAATCACCTAAAACCCCCTGAGCTCTGTGTGTTGTAGGCCAGCCACAAATGTATTGTTACAATGTGTCAGATGGGTTCCTGTTATTGAAGTGTAACAACATGACCCTCATTCAGCTGTGTGGGTTGTGGTGCGGAGAGCTATGCGGTGTAACAATCTGTACACACTGCATTAGCAGGGCCATGGATGAGGGGGCACCACCTGTCCTGTATGGGGCCCAGGTAGCTGGGTGAATTGGATGTGGACGGGGAGGGTGATCAGCATGGTGGGGGCAGTTACTAAAGCTGACCGTCTGTATGGCTGTCTCTGCAGCAGCTGAAAGCTGGCTTCTTCTCCTCTCCCTCCACACCGATCACCCTCCCTGTGCACCATATATGTCCCCCTGTGTGCCCCCATCCCACTCCCACATTGCTTCCGGATTCCCTCTTCTACTTCGTACCGGCGGCTGCAAGAACACAGTAGGATCCTTCAGGATGGGGGAAGGGTCCGGTAATTATGTCACATTTACCAGCTACTTCCTTTCTTGAATATACACAATAAGTGATCAGTATCAATCACTCGCTGTGTTGATTCATAATTGAAGCATAGTAAACTGTCTATTTGGGAGGTCCCTTTCAGGTTGGCTGTATGGGGCCCTGTGGTTTCTAACAGGCGCCCTGTGCATTAGTACACATCACACCCCACCATACATCTATGGTGCCATCGAGCACTGCTTCTGACAGGCACAGTAGACATCTGATCCTCCTGGGGGATCAGGAAGGAGTCGTCCCATCCCATCTCCAGCTGGAGTGAATTGGATCGTAGCTTTATTGGGGATTTTTCCTTCTTCTGGATCCCAATTGCGTATAAGGACAGAGCAAGCTTGGCTTTCAATCATTCTGAATGATGGCAGAATGAGGATATTCTGCACCTCCTCTGCCTCCATATGAATGACTCCTTTAGGGCAGATGTGAACATAGAGGTGGAGCTCAGAGTACTCATCTCAGTTCATATGGAGGTAACTGAGTGTATGTCCATATGAGTTCAGATACAGTATGGGCTAGTTTTTTAAAATTTTGGCTGGTGTCAAGTTCCTACATAAATAAATATGGCCGTGTACATTAGGTCTTGGGGCAACAGGACATTGATGACATGGGTGGTGGCCCCTCTTGGCTCTCCTGTTGATCTTTTGTAGAGCTTGTAAAATGTGGAATTGCACTTCATGTGAGGTCTGATTTTTTTTTTTTTTTTTCTGGCTTAATAGGTAAGAGGTGGTGGTGGGGGGTGTTACTCTTACAGGTTATATTATTTGAAGTGGACCTTGGTTATAAAGCCCTTCCACACGGAGCAGTCTCTGTCCTGATCAGCAGGGGACATGCTCACAGATCTTCTGATCAGAGCAGGCAGATGATGGGTCCATGTCTGTTTCACAGACTAAGCCCACTCTGCTCTATAGGTGGCTATAGAGCAGACTGCAATCCGATTCACCTAAATGGAAGATTATGAAACCCATTATGTTTTTTTTTTTTTTTTTTTCTTTTTTTTTTTTCAGGGAGCCAGATCAGACACAGAAGTAGGTGAGAGTAAACAGACATAAGTCTGGAAGCAATTAGGTCTGTTTGAATAACTGACAGGTAGACCTGATCAGATCGCCTGTGTTAAAGGGGCTTATTTGCACTTTTTCCCTGCACTCTTCCATAAACTTCCTTAACCTCTGAGCACAGAAATACTGACATAATCAAAGTGGTACATTGTTTTCAGTGGAAATATGTTGTTTTTTTGATTGTAGGCCTGTAATTCTTAGGAATAACTCACTGAAATCTGTCCGAAGAAGAGTCTTGTAAACATTCTGGGTATGATAGTTTGAAACACGAAATCATAAATTATAATATAATAAATAATAATAAAACTAATAATATAATAATACATTTAATTCAATAATGTAATCAAACCAAAAACACTGAAATTTGAAATAGCGCCAAGTTCGCACATCGCTGAGCTTAGTCGCAGAATCGTTTTCAGTCTCTGATGATGAATTTCCCCACAAATCATTATCACTCAATTCTGCAAGTAGTTCTAATTTACTATCGCTGTTCTCTAGCTGGTCTAAAACCGATTTTGACCTAAAGGGACGCTTTTTGGACGCCATGGACATTTCTCAGTTTCCAGGCAGAAAGAACAGTAAAAATGCAGGCAGGGCACAGGACAAAGCACTAGGGACAAAATGTATGTGAAATGGTTTGATACAGTAATGTTTTACTATGTGATTTTAGTGTATTGACTGTCAAATTTTTTAATTTCCTGCCGGTTCCGTCCCCGTATGTCCCGATCCTCACAGGGAACGGAACCCAGAAGACAGATGCCTGCACGCAGGCATTCACTAAGTGGCTGCCTGCATGCAGCTCAAGGCAACTCCATCCAGCTAAACAAATGTCTCATTCATGTATAGGTCTCGGCGCCAGTGTGAATGAGGTCTTATGATCACCTATCACCATTCTAGACTGGTCGGTTGCAAGTGGTATATTGGGGCTGCTGCTGGAAACAAGCGGGAACTGTGTATAGACAACTGTTCATTGGTTGACGCACCCTGCGAGAAGGCCTTACAAACCGAGTCCATTGTTAATAAAAGAATATAATTTTTTGAGTTTAGAAATGTTGGTATTGAGAAACCTTTTTCAACCTGTTTAACATGGAGGGGGGCCTTGAAATAGCTTTCTGGTTTCAGGGATGCATGTGATATTTATATTTACAGCTCATCGTAAATTGGTGTGAAAAAGAGAATTGTGGATATATGCTTAATAAAACGGAATGGAGTGCCATTTTGTTTTTCAGCCCAGGGCTGCTTTTATAACAAAATTATTTTCAATAATAATGTAATGAAAGTTATTGAAAATAAAAATTGCAAGGAAACTCAGACTTGGTGAAAATTGTAGTGGTCAGTGGAATGTTTCCACTTACACTGGAAATTAGTAAAGTGCCCCCCTACAATGGTGGCTAGTGAATAAGGGCCCCTTAGAAAAGTGGTCAGTAGGGGACAGACCCCTTACATTGGTGGTCATTGGGAGAAGGGCCCCATACATTGGTAGCAATTGGGAAGAATGTTATCCGCCTTGGGCGTTGAGCGGGAGGGCAGCAAGCCCGCCTTGGGCGTTGAGCGGGAGGGCAGCAAGCCCGCCTTGGGCGTTGAGCGGGGAGGGCAGCAAGCCCGCCTTGGGCGTTGAGCAGGAGGGGAGCTCCTCACATCCTCATAGCTAGTGAAAATTGTAGTGGTCAGTGGAATGTTTCCACTTACACTGGAAATTAGTAAAGTGCCCCCCTACAATGGTGGCTAGTGAATAAGGGCCCCTTAGAAAAGTGGTCAGTAGGGGACAGACCCCTTACATTGGTGGTCATTGGGAGAAGGGCCCCATACATTGGTAGCAATTGGGAAGAATGCTATCCGCCTTGGGCGTTGAGCGGGAGGGCAGCAAGCCTGCCTTGGGCGTTGACCGGGAGCGGAGCTCCTCACATTCTCATAGCTAAGTGTGTGGCTGGGAATTCAGAGCATGACAAAAATCAATCTATAACAATTTGCTCAGATATTTCTGTGTCAAAAACCTTTTGAAAGGCATATCCTAGAGGAAACTTCCATGTTAATGATTTATGCACAAGAAATATGCTAACCTTAGCAGTTTCAGCTTGGAAAACTACAATGGACGTCCTGTCCTTTGTGTTAGCAAATTATACGCGGGGAGAATGGCAGCGTGCAGAGTGGTGTGGGTGCTTCAATGGAAGCCATTCTTATCCATTCTCTAAGAAGTAATTGTTCTTTCTGCGGATCCAGTGTGCAGGATACTGGCACTTCACTTTTTTTTTGTGATAAGAGGAAACACCATATCTACAGATTTTGTTTTTTCCAGAATCATTTTCATAGATTAATATTTTCATAATATTGCATTTCCATGTTGGGTGATACTAAGGCACCATTCAAACCCAAGTATATTGTTGTGCAAAGCTTCAATTTCCAAAATACTCTGGGGGGGCTGAATCAATGCATCTCTATGATGATGGTTCACATCTCCACTTCAAAACATCTGAAGCTCAAAAATGTTTTGGAGCTACCTTTTTGTAGCCTAAATCTGGCAGATTGATGCATTTCTGAAGCATTTTTTCCCAGTAGAAATGAATTGAAGCACACGTTTGTGCACATGCTTATATGTACAGTTACCTCCCTGCCAGAAAACGACCAAATATTGCCAGTAGGGCTGCAACTTTTTGGACAGTGTATGTGGCTTTTCATTCAGAATTTACATTATTTTAAAATTGAATTTTAAATCCAGTGAAATTTTTGAACGCCATTTGACAAATGGCAGATTACTACTATAGGGGATTAATTTATACTGTAAAACAGTGAAAGTAATAATTATAACATATATAATCTCAGGTAGGATATACAGGGTATACTTTTATTTCTACACTTAGTGGGCGCCAACTTTTCTCCCTTTTTGTTCCATTTACAGAGGCTGCTTTTTACTCTGGGGTAGGTGCCCTAAATG